GCTGGAATACCATAGCAACCTTGCAGCAACACCATAGCAACTACTGTTCATAGACTTGGCCTTTCTAGCTGGTTCTGCTGCCAGTTTGATTGTCTGTCTGTTTGAGCCTCTGCTGCAAAAATGACAAAATGATGTCTTTGCAAGCAAAAACAGCTTAAATCTAGTCAATATTACTGATATTTCTCATTATGAAATTGTTACAAGAATATTATAAGATATTTTAACTCGTTTCTGGATGTTTCTTACATTGTTTTAAGTAATATTACCTACAGAATTTAGATTATTATTATATGATATAATGCATAGAAGCAAAATGATCTGCCATAAGACACGTTTCACTGGATACATGACTGAAAGCAAGAAGTAGTTGGAAAAATCTAAGAATGTTTTACAACAATCTCAAAATGAGAAATATTGGACGTGTTGATTAGATTTAAGATGAGTTACTTTGCCAAGACATGTTTTTTGCAGTGTACAGGTCAGTGATCTGTCTAGTTAGAGAGAGTGGAGGATTTTGTTAAATAAGCAGCCTGAACTTAATCAAAAGGGGGCGGGGCATCGTTCTCGTGCTCTGAGAAGCGTTCTGGCGGCTCTGTGTGTGACGATGATAAAAGAGCCGAGCTTTGGGGATCACAGACCCGCACTGTATACACACAGACACGCAGACATATGGGGGATGCAAAGCCAGGGCCTAATCTTTTTGTATGAAAACAATTTGTTTTCTGCCGCTGGCCAGCAGAGCCACTGTCCATCGGTTACACGGTGAAAAAAGGATGTGAGAAACGGAGTGAAAAAAAGAGAATGAAAAATAAAGAATAAAGAGCAGATGAGGGATGAGTGCAGCACAGCTGCAGTGACACAGTTTGTGTGTAATAGGATTTCTCTCTGTCTCTCTCTCTCATTCTCTCTCCCTCTATCGCGGTAGTCACGTGAGAGGGCACGGAAAGTAGATTTCTGATCCATCAGACTAAACCAGACTGAAACAACACCCCCCCTTAACCCTCTCCCCCCGCATCCGTCTGTGTCAGTTCGTACCTACAGTATCACCTACATCCCCCCACCATCCATCACCCGCTGTACCACTAATCCACATCCAGCACCCCCCCTCATAACACCAACACCAGCACACTCAGTGCTGCTCCACTGCTTGAACCATCCACAAATGAAAATGGGTGCGTGACCAGCACGCTAACCTTAATCTGATCATTTAGAGTAATTTGTAAATTAATTCTGCACCTCTCGCTCTTTCTCTCGCTCTACGCTGATGTGAAGAAGCATTTCAGGCTGTCGTTTCCTGCTGTCTACGCACCACATTCGTACGATTGACGCTTTCACTGCTATTTTTGATTCTGACCTGGGTTCTAAAGTAAATGAGTTAAAGAACCCTTCCTATTTTAATGGCATGGTTTAAGCTTTCACAAGAGATTTAGCTCCATTTCTCACAATACACTCTCAAAAATAAAGGTTCTGAATTATTCATGGCTTGAATGTGCAGGTCTAGAAAAAAAACATTTTATTAATAAATTAATTTTTATATAGTTTCTTCATACTCAAAAAAAAGGTTTTATAAAAGTTATTTTACAAAATAGTCGTTGAAGAACCATCCATTGAAAGTTTCATTAACACTTTATAGTAGGGCAGTGTTAGTTAGTAGGGCATATCTTGGCAACTGACATACACCTACATGAAAATCTACCAGGACTTCTTTCGATATGCGTCAGTCATAACTGCTGCTTTTGTCAGCTTTGATCTCAAAGCAAATGCTTCCGAAGCATCGCAGTGCGCACCACTCGCCTCAGAAACAGCTTCTTTCCCCAGGCCATCAGAGCTCTTAACAGCAAACTACCTTTATATTGTATACAGTGCATGTTGTAGCATAGTCTGACTAGTAAAATGTGTACACTATATGGCCAAAAGTGTTGGGACACCCCTCCTAATTAAAGAGTTCAGGTGTTTCAGCCACACTTATTGCTAAAAGGTATACGAAATCTCCATAAACAAACATGGGCAGAAGTAGTGAAGAGCTAAGTGACTTCATAGGATGACATCTTTGCTCTAAATCAGTGAAATTTCTGCCCTGCTAGATCTGCCCCGGTCAACTGTAAGTGCTATTATTGTGAAATGGAAGCATCTAGGAGCCACTACCTCAGCCACAAAGTGGTAGACCACACAAACTCACACTGACTGCTGAAGCACATAGCATGTAAAAATCACCTCTTATCTGTTGCAGCAGAATAACTGTGTGTCAGAAGCTTCATTAAAAGGGTTTTCATAGCCGAGCAGCTGTACACAAGCCTAAGACTACTGTGTGCAATGCCAAGTGTCAGCTGGAGAGGTGTAAATCACACCTTCACTGGACTCTGGAGTGGTAAATATGTTCTATAGAGTGCTGAATCATGCTTCACTATCTGGCAGTCTGATGGATGAATCTGGGTTTGGTGGAGGCCAGGAGAACGTTACTTATCAGGATGCATAGTGTCAACAGTAAAGTTTGGTGGAGGGGGGATAATGAGCTGGGGCTGTTTCTCAGGGTTTGGGCCTATATGTTAATGTTAATGTTAATGTTAATACTACAGCATAATGCTACAGAAGGCCCTTTCCTGTTCCAGCATGATTGACCCTTGACCTCAACCCCACTGAACACCTTTGGGATGAATTGAAACGTTGATTGCAAGCCAGGCCTTCTCATTCAACACCAGAGCCTGACCTCTCAAATGCTCTTTTAACTTAATGGACTCAGATTCCCAAGGACACACTTCAAAAAAAGCCTTCAGAGAAGAGTTATAGCCACAAAGGGGGCTATTAATGTTCATGGTTTTGGAATGGGATGTCCAGCAAGCTCATATAAGTGTGGTGGTCAGGTGTCCACATGCTGTTGGCCATACGGTGTAGCTTATTTGGTGAAGTGAAATGTTTCCCGAGGGCCACAGAAAATGCCTGACTTTGCACATTATGTCATATTGTCATCATTATGTCACTGTGACACTCTGGGCCAAGAAACCTAATGTCAGAAAAATCTGTCACCAAATCTGGTAAATGCAATTTTCATGACAAACAAAGCCTACTGGAATAAGTGTTTATACATGTTTCTGTAGGTTTATGCCAGTTATGCTAGTTATCAAGGGTTTATGAATGTGTCACGTAGCATTGTGAACAGTGGCCTACAGTGATGTGTTACCAAAATTTCTTTAGCAAGTCACATGTGAGAATTTTTCCTATTATAAGCTCATTTAATTGACCAAAAGTGGTTCTTCGATGCCATTGGTTTTCAGCCCTGGTCTTGGAGAACCACTGCCCAGCCCTGCACACAGTGGTACTTTAGGACAAGCATTGTCAACCACTGTTCTAGGCCATTGCTTCAAAGAACCCCTTTGGCACTTTTGTGTATAAAGTGTTGGACATAGATATACTTATCAACCTGCTGCATATCCAGCGCTGTGCAAAAGTGACAGACCACCCTTCATTTGTTTAATCTAGACAAAACAGCCTTTAAGTACAGGTTGTTGAGCTTTTAGGAGATATTGAGCGGATTAGATAGTAGATTATTAATTAAAATAAGGAAGGGAAAAGTCAAAGGGTTATGAGTGAAAGACCTGGACTTTCTAAAAGTGGAGCTCAAAAAAGGATTAAAAGACCCAGAGAAAATGTCCATCCTTCCACTGTAGGAGACAACTCTTTGCTGTGAGTCTGAAAGGATGTGTAGCTTATTGAAAAAAAAGAACATTTGCAGCTTCTGCCATTCTCAGAACACTGGACTGACCAACCACTGAATGTGTTTGACATTACTTTAGCAGAAACTGCTAAACCAGCTTCTAAGACTGAACTTTGGAGGTGTGGAAAAACCTGAAAGCAAGTCTCCTGAAAAGAATGGAAGCTGTAAAAAGCGGAAAGGTTGACAAAGTAAATACTGAAAAAAAGATATTTAGCTGTTAAGGCTTCTGTACGGAGCCCTGCTGGTGACATCGCGTATAGATAAAAAATTAATGTGTGGCCACGCCATATCAACACGTGGGAACAAGATCCTAATGCGTGGTCACGACTTAGTAAGGTGTGGAAACGAGATAAATAAGTCATAGCCACAACTTAGTAAAGACTGGGAACGAGATCACGTCTTAATAAGCTGTAGTCAAGACTTAGTAAGGCATGGGAATGAGATGATTATGTCTTGACTACAGGATCTCATTCCCATGCCTTATTAAGTTGTGGCCACAACTTAATTATTTCATTCCCACACCTCGTCGTGGCCACGCGTTCTTGTTATTTATACAGGATGTCACCAGCAGAGCTCTGTACTTCTTCGTAACTTTCTGTTAAGTATTTTCTTTAACTTTTTTCCTGACACTGGAAAATTGATATTTTGTACTAGAATTTAAAATTGAAGGGTCGTCTCTGATTTCTGCTCAGTACTGCACCAGAACAAAACCTGGTTTCTCTGTTACTGTTTTTTCCACATGATTTGGCCTTTACATTGTGTCAGAACTTCATGATGAAAGGACTAATAGAAATTGTCCAAAATGACTTACAATACGCTTTTGGTCTCTTAACTTCTATTAACAGTTAAGGAAGTTTTTTCCTCTCCTATAAACTTACAGTTTTGTAGGTTTGAGGTTTTGTTCTGACACCAAACCTAACAAACATACCTCAAACCAGACAGAGTACCTTCTTTACTCGTTTGTCTTCTTGTCAGAGTGGCCTCTTCAGGTGTTCCCTTCAGGCTTATAGATGAACCTGATACACTGCTTAACATACTTAATGAAAACTACACAATGAAAGTGTTATACACTCAGTGACCACTTTATTAGAAACCCCTTCCTCGTAGCTCCACTTTCCAGGTGTACACACTGTAGCCCATATTTTGATGTACAGACATATAAGCAGCCTTCTGGACCAGTGGTCACCAACCCTGGCTCTAAAAAGCTATCTGCTCCAGCTCATTAACCTCTTCAAAAATGAACACGTCAGAGGTAAGTTGGAACTAAACTCTGCCAGAAAGTAGAGCTCCAGGAGGAGGGTTGGTGACCACTGCTCTGATCACAGAGCCATTCTTGGCTGGATATTTTTGGGTGGTGGACCACACTCAACCTAACAGTGACACTGATGTATAAAAACCCCAGTAACAATGCTGTGCCTGAAACACTCATCACCAGAACTGTCTGTGTGTAGGTGGACCCAAAAAGTGGCAAAAGAATGTAAAGTAGGTGTTTCTAATAAAAGCCCTATTGGAGCTGGTTTAGTTTTTTCTTAGGAAGTTCTGTAATTTAAGTGATTACCAACAAAATTTGTGGTTTTTATACAAAACTACAAAACTCCAGTGTGTAGTTTTAAAAGTCTGACTGTGGAATTAATGGCCTTCTCTAATTGGTTGGAGTTCCCATAATGGAACTAATGAAATAACAAAACCTACCAATACGTAGAGCCATGCGGTGTGTTGTTATTGTTATTGAGTAATTGAACACGTGAACATCCAGGTTGTGAACTTTCATTCTGCCCTGTCTGTTGGAAGTTGGAGAAATTACACAGATACCTTATCCTGTACGAATCTGCCAATTAAATCTCTTACAAATTACAGTACCACTACAGTACAGCACCTCCAAAGGCAGGGGTGTCCAGTCTTACCTGCAAATGGCCAGTGTGGCTGCAAGTTCTCATTGCATCAAAGCGGGATCAGCGTTTTTGAGACTAAGACTCACTGATTAAGTGGAATCAGGTGTGTGCTGCTTGTTTGGAATGACAACTTGCATCCACATTGCCCCCTTTACAGACCAGATTGGACACCCCTGTCCGATTGTAAAACTAATCAAGCTCCAGTGGTATCAATGTGGTTGATGGTGAGTGCATATATGTCATATTTTAAATGTGTTTCCTGCTCAAATAATCTGGCTTCCCATAACTGATCTGCATGCATATGCAAGATGATGCAATCTCCTTGCTACATATGTACTTCACAGGATTTTTAGCATAAATTCAGTGTAAAATCTCCCAACATGCACTCATGCTGTGTACAGTAACAGAGCAAGAACATCAACTTGGGCTTCTGTTTGATGCTTCAAGAGCTCAAAGTATTTAAATAGAGGACAAAGTCTCAAATAATCTCATGCTTTCATGCAGGCCTTGGAAAGCAGAGACAGTCACTGCCACAGCATCTTCTAACTGAGCTGCCTCCAGCCAAAGTTCCTGCTGTGATTCTCCATCTGATCCTTTAGCCAGTGTTACTTCCATCTTCACAGGACTTCAAGTGCTTCTGAAGCACCATGCCTGTCCAAACAGCTCGGTCATACTGCCACAGAAGCTTCAGTTACACTGAAGATTGGGCTCTTTCTTCATTGCTCCTCAGACTGATACATAATCTTCAGGTAGAACTCATGACTATATTTGTCAAAGCTTCATGCACCTCACTTTGGCTTCATGCATTCTGGCTAGTGCTCAAGCAAAGGTTTAAGTGTTTTCTGGTGAAACCTGTTTGTTCCCCCTGCAGTTTCAGGTGGGCTTCATGGTAACTCTTCCACTATCAATACTGGTCCCTTAAAGCCCAGCTAAATACCATATTTCCCACCTTAGCAGGGCTTAAAGCATTTACACTGAAGCTTTGTGTATCTCCCATACCCTGAGAGTCCAGCAGTGAAGCCCTGATGTATGTTTTGTTCTACAGTTTTACATCATATGAGCTTCATGGTGAACCTGCCAGTCTCCATGCTGGTTCCTCCTCCAGTTGATGCTGCCCCCGCACTGCGGGGAACAAAGTCAATGGTGGCAGTGTGTTTGATCTGTCCTTTGCTCTGGCTCCAGAAAAACATGAACACAAAGCAAATTGCTACAGAGCTCAGGAACGACAGGAAGCCCATCGTCACGGCAATCACCAATGTTTTCACGTCAAACGGAAAAGGCTGCGGACCCTGGGAGCCATTTACAGGCATCTGGGTAGAAGCAAGGCTCCACCCCTCCAGGAAGAAGTGGGCGGAGCGATTTCGGGATGAGGAAGCAGGAAAGCCACGTACTCGCAGGCTAACAGATATGCTGTCATTCCCCGCTGCATTGGAAGCGAAGCAGCGGTAGTACCCACTGTCCTGGACTTGCGCATAACGTACCTCGAGGGTACCATTGGGCAGGACACGGATCCGTCCAGTAGTGGAAATGAGGGTGCGCTGGGGGCTCACCCAGATGACTGAAGGAATAGGGTCTCCATCCACTTGGCAGAAAAACAAGACTGTGTGACCCTCGTCTGTGCGTACCTCCTGGGGCTTGCGGTTCAGGATACGTGCCTGCCTGCAGGTGAACAGCCCCGGCAGCTCAGCTTCAGTAAAGTCTTGGAAACTTCTTCCCTGTACCTGCACAGGTGAGGCACAGCTGGGTGGCTGCCCATCAAAGTCCAGTCTCAGACGGCGGCGCAGCACCCACAGCATCCGGCAGTCACAAGCCAGTGGGTTTCCATCCAGCCTGAGAACCTCAAGGGTCCCCACCGAGTGAAATACTGTCTCCTCCAGGGTCGACAGATGATTGGATGACACGTTGAGCAGACGGAAGTGGACAAGGCCACGGAAAGCACCGGGCTCCACCCTAAGCAGACTCCCACCCACTAAGTGGAACTCCTGCAGTCGCAGTAAGTCCCCCAGCAGGTTTGACTGGACGGAGGTGATGGGGTTATAGGACAGGTCCAGGTAGCGCAGATAGACCAGGTGATGCAGAGGGGGCATAGGGTACAGAGCTCAGGTTGCAGTAGCTGAGAGTCAGGGAGGTGAGGTTGAGACCAATCAGGCTGTTAGCAGCAACTGAGTCCAGCCCAGGAGAATGGGATATGGTCAATTCCCTGAGCCGGCTCAACCGTCTGAAAGAGTTATTTGGAAGCGTTGTGAAGCCGACCCGGCAGAACCTGTGAACAGAACACATATTCATGATAGTAGATATCTTTTACTTTGTATTCTGTAATTTGTTGCAATTTGCTGTTATTTAATTGTTTTATTAAATTTTCATATAAGACAATATTTTAGCCATCCAATACTTTGCTAATCATTCTAGGTAAAGCAATTTTTGAGAAAATAGTAAGTAAAGATTAATATTCTTATAATAACCTGAGCTGTGACAGTCCAGTGAGCTGTGATAAAGCCTCGCTTGGGACGGAGGTGAGGTTACACCTGTCCAAATTGAGCTCCTGGAGGTTGAGGAGGCCGTTAAAGGCGCGGTTGGAGATGAACACCAGATCATTCTCGCTGGCTTCCAGCTTCTGCAGAGAGGCCATCTCACGGAATGTGAAGTCCAAGAAGACAAGGAGTTCGTTCTCACTGACGTCCAGCAGGCGGAGACCCGACAGGCCCGAGAACGCTCCAACCGGGATGATCTTGAGCCGGTTCCGGGTCAGCCGCAATGTCAGGAGGTTCTGAAGCCCAAGGAAGGCTTCCACCTCAATCATTGTCAGCATGTTGTCACTCAGGTCTAGCTCTCGCAGTTGCCCCAGGCCAGAGAACTGACGGCGTCCAAGCATCTTCAGGCGATTGTTGGCCAGGCTGAGGCGTTTGGTGTTGCCATGGACACCCTCAGGTACAGAGGTCAGGTGACGTGAAGAGCAGTTGACCATAAGAATCTCATGTAAGCACTCACAACGCTGAGGGCAGGGCCAGGGTGGGTCACCTGCTGCGGCCACACCCACTATCCACAGGAGCACCACCCACCAATACACCCCCCGCCAATCAGCAACCTCCACACACATCTGTCCTGCCTACAACAACACAAGAGAAGGAAGAACAGTGATTATTCTGTAAAAAACTACAGAGGGTAATGAAAATCAGATAAACAGAGCTAAATAAAGTTTTACAACTGATGGCTCTTCAATGCCAATGCAATGAAATGCAGCCTTTTAATTTACATTTTTCTTTTAATAATGTGATTTGTCAATGTATTTAAAAAAATCAGATATTTTGAATTTGTTTGCTTCACAAACTGCCACAAAGTACCATTTTGAGCAAATGTATGAACTGGAATATGCTTCACAATTTATGCTTTGCCTTACTTGTTTGCCTTAATTCAGTTGTGTATGTGCAGCCTAAGAAGTTCTTTCAGTGGAGGGAGCTGAACCCCAGTTTCCAGGGTATAACACCATGCTGTTAACTGTTAAACTCTTAGAGACTCAAGAGCTATAAATGTCTTTAAGAGGTCCAGTACTGTCCTAGGAACCCAAGCCATGGAACCAAGGCGACCGACTAGCTCTATTCGTGTGGTGAGGCTGAGCGTTACAGTTACCATACACACTGACCAAGTGAGCACTTGTAGAGTCTAATATGGGGAAGGCCAGGGGCTCAAGTCCCCCCTCAAGTATATCTGTGCACATGTCTGCTTTTGGATACATTACATACATACATCAAATTAGTTTTCTAATTATTTATTCTGAACAATAAGTCCTAAATTTAATAACCGGCTAATGGGCTTAAGGGTGCAAGGAGTTAATACAAGCAATACACTTGGCAGAAATGCACATGAATTTCCACCCCTGACTTATGATCCTAACAAATACACCCAAAGAAACAGGTTTATAGGACCCTGCACAATGCTCTCATTAACCCATCAGCCCTGAGCAGCTATTTCTATGTTGTTCTTTGTTAATGATGCAATTACTCAATGCTTTTATGGTAGAATGTAAAGAACATGATCTAACAAAGCTCAGAACCTATCGCAGTGTGTCCAACAATTAAGACAGCATGGAGCTTCTTCTACACAGTGAAACACAGTAGCACACCAACTACTCTGGGGGCAGATTTTAATGTGTTAAAGGAGACAAAGAATATAGAGGTCTGTACAGGAACTTCAGAACATCGTTATCATTTGTCCCGCTCCCGCCTGCAACTGAAATGTTTTGGCCCGCTCCCAACTGCGCAGTTCAGTCAAGGCGAATGGACATCCAATATCTGACATAGTCTATTCACAAATATATTATCCTCTGCTGAAATAATACAATGCTCATGGTCATCAGGCTTATGGTGAAGTAACTTCACCTAATGGCCTTTATTCCCAGCAGACACAAAGCAGGAATTAAACCCCAGAGCAATTATTTTTGGTGTTTTGCTGGGTTCAGCAGCTGTGGCTGTCAGACTGAAGGCCTCGCCATCTCTGTAAGCTATGAGGTTTTGCATGTTATTCACCTGATCTTTAGAATGACTGAGAATGAGTGAGATTTCTGTTCATGTGTGCTTTGGCCTGCTCCCGCCTGCAGTGGGCTGGTTTCCCACCCGCTCCAGTGCACAACACTGACAATAAGTCCCGCGCCACAAGATATTGTGGCAGCTCCCATGGGTCCAGCAAGAATCCGTGGGACTACAGACCTCTAAAAGAATGTTTTAGGCAAGATAGGGTAATAGCTTTAAAAAAGTCATACAGGAAGCTTATGGAGTGCTGTCTATGAGGCACTTAATGGAAGAATCCCTGCCACTCCTTTTTAATCCTTCATTTGCTCCATCCTACTGCACGCTCACAATACTGCCCACTTTCTCATGACATATGTGAGAAATGGAGAACAGAAACAGTCCATTAGGCCTAAGCCAGCACGCCAGTCATGAACTAAGTGCTCATTTTCGACAAGGCAGCAGTGTTTGGTAGCCTAAAAGAGGTCAAGGCAATCAAGTGACTATATCACGACATTCACAATGTGGTTTCATGTCTAGTGGCTACAGTAAAAGCACATGTTAGCCCTCATGTTGGTTAGTTGATCTCATAATGAAGAGGCCTACAGTGAGGTGGCAACAGCAACAGCTTAGGGTAAAATTTGAGCAATGACAAAAACATGTACCAACCACAAGGTTAACTTCTGGTACACTCAAACAAGGCTTAACAAGAACATCCCAAAAAGTATAGCTCTCTCTGTGTTGAGTGGTTCTCTGAGAGAAAAATCTTAACAAATGGTTCTCAAACAGGTCCTCAGGAACCCCACAAGGTCCACATGTTCGCTCAGTCCCCACTCACAACATATAGGGATAAAAGAAAAACGTGGATCATCTGGGGGTCCCTGAGGACCAGACTCGTAAAGGGTCCAGTGTCTTAAAGAGTCAACCTCATGGTAAACCGAATTTCCCTCCATTTTTTTAAATAAAGGAGTTTGCAGCAATATATAAACATATGATTCACTCCCCAGTCCATACAGTCCATGTTTTGTGAGTTCAGACCATGTCTTCAACATGGTGGTGGTAGTGTGAGGGAGGGGGGAGAATTTTGAGAACTTGGGCTGGAGTTCTGGGCAGCTTCTGCCTGTAGCTAGAAGGCCAGATCCCCTCATAGCTGTAGTAGGACTCATGAAGGACTGAGGAACAGGGAGGAGATGGGGTGGTGGTGGGGATTGTGGACACTACGTCATGGGAACAGAAGGTAAGGATGTGAATTTATAGGGTGTTAGATTGAAAGAAGGAGGGGTTTCAGCCATGCTCCTCCCCCCAAACTTCAGTTACTTAATTACATACTTTTCTGCATGAAATTGTCACACAATGTAAAGAACAGCTGCTGAGCTCAAATTATGCAGAACTAAAAGTCGAACAAAATGGAGATACTTGTTTCTTTGGTTGTTTTTTTTTTTTTGGGCAGCGATGATTTGCTTCCTGACAGTCAGGAGCAGCACAACATTGAATAATTTTCACCACAGCTCCCACTCTAACTGATAGTATTTCGATGACATCACATCCCATTTTGGATGGCAACTTCAAGTTCATTCAGCAGAGCTGTGGCTGTGTGTGATGAGATTATGAAGACATAACCGGTGCAGCAAAGGCAGTAAAGCATGTTTTTAAAACTCAAAAGTTTTAACACACAGTAACCAGCGTATTTGAGTGTACTGACTTGATTTTATTTGATTTGTGGTTGTAGTGATGACAGATGAAAGCTATAATCTAAACGGCTGAGGTTTCCTGTTATTATTTTCATGTTCCAAATTGCATACTAGCACACTAAATAATATGCAAAAAATATTATATTGCACATATATTATTAGAAGTGCACTCATTAGTGTAATAGGTGAAGTACAGAAGTGTGTGGTTTGGGACGCGGCGTTAGATTAGCCAGTGAGACACGATCAGCAGGTCCAGTGACTGATTATAGCTTCACTGTGCTGCACATGAACTGCTCAGTAACAGTTAAACATATCTAAGCAAATGTTTGAGGTATTTTTTGATTAACAATCATTCATTGAGGTAAATTGATGCATTTTTTGAGGTAAGCCGATGTTAGCTCCGTATTCACCAACTTTCATAATTCATTCTACGTTTACGGCACCTCATTGTAACTCCAGCACCATTTAAGGTGGAACGGTAAATTCAAATGAGAAGCTGGCAAATAAGAAGCTGACTTGAGCTTGATATAAATATGAGTTTATTATTCAAGAGCTTTGGCAGCTTTGGTAGCCACTTTTATTAGTTTCTAAAATATCACCCACTGGAATGTTCTGAACTCTGGAGATGTGCAGGTTATACAGATCCAGTCCACCAATCTAACCAATCTTCTTCTTGTAGCGTTTTCTGGAGACGCGTCTAAAGCGTCTGCGTATCTTAAACCTCTTTTTGTGGTCATTCAGGTCTATTTTGTTTTGTTTTTATCCACCTGCAGGGTTGTAGAAAGCATGAGTTACAGCTTGCCTACCAAAATGGTGACATGGTCTTCTTAATGGCGTAATCGAATACTTTGAATAACTCTTCAGAAAGTTATTTCTGAGCCTAAACTGGTGCACTGAGCACAAATGCGAATTTTATGTTATATTGCAGTTCTATTATATTTTATATTTTATATTTATATATAGTTATATTTTATTGCAGTTCAGTTTACAGATCACCTTCTGATAGTGTTTTACAAGTCAGGCTGATGCACAGCGCTGTCCCAGAAACTCACCTACAGGCCAAGCAGCTGCGGCTTCACATACCCAACAGCTTTCAGGCTCAACTCCCACAGGCCTAGCCTGGACACAGAGGGAAAAAAGAGAGACAGCAAGTTTATAAAATGCCTCATCCAATAAGACAAACTGAAATTCTCAGGCAGCCAGTCTGTTCAAATCAGCTGCCATCACCCACTGAGTGACCAATGATTTGACCCCTGAGCAGAGATGAGGATTAACCTTCGAATTTTTGACCTGTGTGTGAAAGCGTGAATGGGAAGCTTCTGCCCTGTGACTGAGGAGTGGGAATATTCTTCACAGAGTCTCTGTCATCTTCCATTCCTGCTAGCGCCTCAGTCATGGCGGTATGTCAGAGATGATGAGGGGTGTGCTAGTTTTAAGGGGGAGACAACCAAAGCAGGCTGGAATGCTGCAAATTTCCAAACTATGAACAGCACAAATTCGCTATAACAGAACTGACCTTTATGTTAGCAAAGAATGTTAAGAAAAGTGTTTATTTTTATTTGATTCCATTGATTTTTATTTAAGCTATACCTAAGAGAAAAGGGGAATGAAAACCAAATGTACAAGAGGCTGTAAGAGAAGCTGAAGGTGGGATATTTAGGTCAATGTCAAGTGGTCTTTTTTGTCCTTCCTCAATATAACTTGCATCCATTGGAATGAAACGTCATTCCCCAGGCCCCAAACACAGAACAGCAGCACATTACGCAGGACTATACAGAGTTGTTACACGACAGTGTGAAGCGAGTGCAGAATATACAAGAAATACACCAGAACAAGCAATACACACGATAATAATGGGTGGTAAAAACACCCTGATGATCTCCTCATTCTTTGCAAAAATCTATTTT